GCTCAGCCCATAGAGGCCCAGAGAAGCAGACAAAGCAGCTTTGCCTATCCACTCACTTGCCTAAGGAGGGAGTCAAGCAGCTTTTCCTGAGGGACTTGGCATGTCAGGGACCCCAGGAAACAACTGGGAGGCCCTATTTATCCTCCTGTGCCAAGAAGCAGTTGGGCTGCTTGTTCTCAGAAGGTTGGCCCACTGAGCCCCTAAGAAGTAGATACTCATCTTCACCCACATATCCTTTGCCCTGGGAAGCAGTTAAGCAACCCACTGAGCAGGTTGGCCCCCTGAAGACCCTGTGAAATTCCCTGTGCAGCCTCTGGATTTTGACAGGTGTCCATCTGGGCACATTATTGTGGCTTGGCCCCTATGCATCCTTCAGACACTGAGAATTACCCAGTTTTGCACTGCATTTGTCTGTGTCCACAGGGATGGTGCTACATTCACACAATCCACAGAAATTGATGGAAGCCCCAGTCTTGTAGTCAGGGGCACTGCACTCAGGATTGTCAGTGAACCTGTACTACCTAAGGGAGCTGCATCCTAACTGGTGATGCAGTCCCATAACCCCTGCAGCCTAGACATCACCATAATTGATCACAACTGAAGAAGCTACATGGTCCCTACACCAATGCACTCACCTGTAACCATATCCAATGCAGCACATCTAACTAACACCACAGGACACATTGCCAGCAGAAATTTTTTTACTATGAAGAACACTCTATAAAATTGTTAGAAGCAACTGATCCCTGAGTTGGTGCACAAACACCACCATATGGACCCATGAAGAGGCAAGGTAAAATATCTTGAAAGGAAATAATAGCTTTCTAGCTACAGACCACAAAAAAAAAATGGAAATTGAGTAGTTACCAAAGAATTCAAAACAATGATTTTAAGAAAACAATGAGGTGCAAGAGAATACAGTCACTTCAATAACATTAAGGAAGACAATTAATGATTTGAGTGAGAAATTCAGAAAGAGATAAAGATTATAGAAAATAACCAATCTGAAATCTTAGGGATAAATAACTCAACAAATAAAATTGCAGTTGAGAGCCTGAGCAGCAGAGTTGAACAGGCAGAAGAAAGAATTTCTGAGTTTGAAGACAGGTCTTTTAAAATAACTCATTCAGAAAAAAAAAGAAAGAATAGGTATTGAAGAAAGTTTATGAGACTTATGGAATACCATTAAGCAAGCAAACATTGGCATTATGGTGCACCAAAAGTAGAACAGAAGGGAAAAGACATAGAAAAGCCTATTCGTTTAATTGATCATATAGATAGGATTAAATGATAAAGGGATTAAATAAATAAGATCAAGTGTCTGATAACTACAAAAGATAACATTTAAAAGGAGAGAATGTTCCAACATGGGAAGAAGTCCACAGAGTAGACTCATAGAATGACAAATGCTCTAAATATCACTCTGACCTCAGGATCAGCCCTTAAGGCATTCTTGTCTAGCTGAAAAGCCCATAAGAGCATTTCAGGAATGGAGAGCCAAGACACTGAGGCAAAAACAAAAAAAGTCCTACACAAAGGAATTCTGTGAGTGAGACCCCAGGGGAAAGGAAGGGCCATCAAAGAAGGATACACTTTTCTCTGAAGGGAGGAGAGAACTTCCACTTTGCTTATGGCCCTGTCTAAATACTGATGGAGATTGTGGACTGAAAAGGCTTCAATAGCTTTGGCAGCTCATGTCAAGAGCCTCAGGTGATCACTGACATCAGACATAAAAGTGTTAATTGTTAAATTAACAGGAGTCACTGTGCATTTACTTCCCATGCAAGATGTCTGTCTTTAATGAGTTGTATTATGAGAATTAACTGTAAAACCTGTTCTCAAATAGTTTTCTATATTTGTGTGGGGGGGGGTGAAAATTTTTGAAATTTTTACTTAGTATACAGTTGGCATTCTGTGTATAAAGTTAACTAAAAATGAATCTTAAGAATAAGATGGGAGAGGGAGGAGGAGATGGGAGGAGATGGGGGTGTGGATGGGAGGGCAGGTATGGGGGAAAGAACCACTATATTCCTAAAGTTGTACTTATGAAATTTGTACTCATTAAATGAAAGGTTTCTTGAAAAAAAAAAGAAAAATAAAGAAGAAAAGAAAAGCCTATTCAATGAAATATTTGCTGAGAACTTCCCAAATCATGGGAAAGATGGGAAATTCTGAGTCCAGGAAACATAAATGACCCCTAATACATTCAATGAAAAAAGGTCTTCTTCATGATGTCTTAGATTCATACTGGTAAAACAAAATAAGACAGATAATTCTTAAAACAGCAAGAGAAAAGTGTCAAGTCACTTACAAGGGAATCCCATTAGATTAGTGGTAGACTTTTCAGCTGAAACTGATATAAGGCAGGTAGCTAGATTTGGGCTATGAGCTGGAAGCCACAACTCCTCTATCCCATGTAATCCTGTCCACCCACCTGTTAATCAAATGACCCCTTCCCCAGGATATACTGCCCCTCACTGGGGCCTGTGGGTGGTACCATGTAATCACTCCCCTTTCCAAGCTAATAAGAAGCTCAGCAACCGGGAAGGGTGTGCTCTCTCTTCACTTGAACTCAGAGCAAGCAGGGTGCTTAAATCTCTCTCATCCTTTCCCTTCTTGGTCCACTCTTCCTGAACAATGCCCACATATGTGTGAGTTTTCCTCACCTTTTAAACAAACCTTATCACTTTGTGTGTTGTATTTGTGCTTGTACTTAGAGTGCTTCTCTAAGTAAGAGGCTAGAGCCTGGAATGGGAATTTAGACCCAAGCTAGCCCACAACAGATCCTCACATCTCCAGGAGAGAAGGGGGTGAAATATTCAAAGTTCCATAAGAAAAAAAAATTGTCAGCAAAGGATAATATACACAGCAAAGCTACTCTTCAGAAGTGATAGAGAAATACTTTCCATGACAAGCCAGAACTGAAAGGAATTCATCACCACCAGGCTGAGCCTACAAGAAATGCTTAAGGGAGTCCTACATTAGAAATGAAATTATAATTACCATCATGAAAACATGTGAAAGTACAAATATTAGCATTACAGCAGATACACAAAAGAGAGAGTAGAAAAAAATCCAAGGAGTGGCATTTTATTTTACTTTTTTTCTAGTTTTGATTTGCAATGCATTTATAGATTTTTTTCACTTATTTTAATTAAGACTGCGATTCTGTACAATTTTTTCACTTCCTTACAATTCTGTACATTCTTTCTCTTCCTTGCACAGGGTTATGTGGCTCTCTTTTAAGATGAGTTGGTAAATATTTTATTCTTTTCTATTTGCTGATAGAACATATTTTGTTGTTATTTCTTCCTTAAATGTTTAGTAGAATTCATCAGTGAAACTATTTGGACCTTTATGTATCTCGTGGGGAAAATTTAAAAAATGAGTTTGATTTCTTAAATACACATGAGGCTAATTCAAAGTTTTTTCTTTCCACGTCAGTTTCCTGAATTTGTGATTTTGAAGAAATATGTGTTTTTCATATGAGTTGCCAAAATGTTTTTGACATAAAATTGTTTAGCATCCTTAAACAACTTAAAAACAGAGTTACCTTATGATAGGCAGTTCTACTATGGGAAATGAAATCAGTATTTCAAAGAAATATCTACAAATCCATGTTTATTTCAGCACTAATCACAATAGGCAAGATATGAAATTAACCTAAAAGATGACTGCAGAAAGATGATGTGGTGTGTGTGTATAATAGAATACTATTCAGCCATAAAAACGTTGAAGTCCTATCATTCTCAAAACAGCATGGAAGGGACAGAAATACAAATATAACATGATCTTACTCAAATGTAGACTTTAAAAAAGTTGGTCTTATAGAAGTGGAGAGTAGAACAGTGGTTAGAGGGGGATGTGGGGAAAGGATGGTGGCAGGGAGGAGAACCAACTAATACAGAATTACTGGCAGATAGCAGGGATGAGTTCTGCTGTTCTATTGCACAGTAGGGTGGATATAGTTAACAGTAAGGTATTATATTTTCAAATAGCAAGGAAAGAGTTTTTTTTTAATGTTTTCACCATAAAGAAATCATAAATATTTGGAGTGATGGATATGATAATTACTCTAATGTGATAATTTAATAATGTATACATGCATCAAAAAATTACATTGCACTTCATAAATACCTATGTGTATTATGTCCATCATAAAATTAATTAATTAAAAAAAGAAAATAACTCAGTGATTAATCTTACCTTGCTTAGTTCACGGGACTTTTATGATTGGCTCTTGCCTACATCCCCAGTTTCATCTCCCACCTCACCCCACTTCTCCAGGCAGCCAAACTATACCACACTTTCATGCTTTTGCATCTTTGACTAAAAGATCCCACCCCCCCCCAGCAACTATTCAGTTCAAGGATGACCTCTGTGAAACGTTCTTTCCTGTGATAGCTCTGTTTGACAGGGCAGGTCATGTTGTACTATCATTTCCCATAGTATGACTGCGCCACATAGACTGTGAGCTCCTTAGGGATAGAGATTGTTTCTTTCTTGATATTTTCCTCGGGGTTTTCCTGGATCCAAGCAAAGACAGACAGGAGTACCCAAACATCACTGAGTGACAGCGTGTGCCACACATTTAGCCAGCTTTGTTGAATTGAGTTGTAAACAAATTTGTCAAGTGGGATCTGGGGACAGTGAGCTCCTTTGTACAGTGTCAATGGTGGCAGCTGTGAAAAAGAAAAGAAAGCAGTTTCCTGGAGCCTGTCATTTCTAAATGCCATCAGTATCTACCTAATTTTCTAAGCTAGAATCTTATACTCACTTCTTATTCCTTCTTCTCCTTCACTTGCTACCCGCTCCCATCTAATCAGTCACTAAACCCTGTCAGTTCTACCTTTAATGTCCCTGGAGCCTGCTGGCACCTTGCCATTGCCAATTCTATAGTGTGGGCCCTCATTATCTCTCATCTGGAATCAATAGCACTTGACTGGTCTTCTGGCTTCCCATCTCTTTTGACCTTCATTCTCTCTCATTTATCCTCCCAGCTGCTGTCCCTGTGTGCTTTCCAAGGCAGGTCTCATTGTGTCACCATCCTGATGAAAGCATTCTAGGGCACCCCATGACCTGCAAGAAGAAACCCAAATTCCTTCGCATTCTCCATCTTGTGCCAGTTTCCCTTGCTCAGCCGCACTCCAGCCCAGTGGATAACACAGGGGTTCCTGAAATCACCACATGAGCAAGCCTTTGCCCAGAAAGTCTCTCTGCCTGGTGTGCTTCTTCTCTTCCGGCCTTCAGATGAACTGCCATTCCTTTCTCAAGACCCTGCTCATCGGCTTCTTCCTCTGTCAAGGTACATGCAAGGTGAGCTTATGGAGACAGAAGGTTGACTCTTAAGGAAAGAGAATAAAATAGGGTCAGAGTTATAAGATTTGGTAAACAATCTCTAACACTGCCCTTGTTATAGTATAATTTAGTTATTTGTCTATTTATCTCTTTCTCTTGGGTTGGTTAGCTCCTGGAGGACAAGGCTTGTGTTTTGTGCTTACATCCTTATCATATAGCATATGTGATCAACCAGTTTTAAATAAATGAAATGAGAATGAGGAGGAACAAATGTTTATTGAGCACCCATTTTGATCCTATATGTTTTACACACATCATCTCATTTGATTTTATCCTCCAAACAATTTTTTGAGGTATTATTTGCTAAAAAGAAATGGGCTTAGGGAGAGTAAATGCCTTTTTCCCCCTTCAGGGTAGGGACTTGTATGGGATGGAGCTAGAGTTAAAATCTAGGGCTGTCTACTCCAAAGCTTTCCTCTTTTGAGTGATTCTCAGAGGCAATTTTGTCACCCTCTGTGGGCCCATTTGGCAAAATCTGGAAATGCTTTTGGTTGTCTCACCTGTGGGGTGTTGCTGGCATCCAGTGAGTACAGGTTAGATATATGCTTCCAGATATCCTACAGTGCACAGAAAAGCTCAAAACAAAGAATGATTGCACCCAATATGCCAACAGTACTGAGGTTGAATGTTTTAATCTCTTCAGGCTGCTGTAATACAGTACCATAGACTTCATAGTATATAGAAATTTATTTCTCACAGTTTTGGAGGCTGGGAGGTTCAATATCAAGGTGCCAGCAGATTCAGGGTACCTGCTGAAGGCTCACTTCCTGTCACAGGCAGCCATCTTCTCATTGTGTCTTCACCTTTTGAAGGTAAGGGAGGTCTCCGGACTCTCTTTTATTTATTTATTTTTTTAAGATTTATTTTTATTTATTTGAAAGGCAGAGTTACAGAGACAAAGTGATAGGGAGAGGGAGAGAGAGAGAGAGAGAGAGAGAGAGAGAGAGAGAGGTCTTCCATCTGCTGGTTCACTTCCCAAATGGCTACAATGGCTGGGAGTTGGCCAGGCAGAAGCCAGGAGCCAGGGATTCTTCCGGGTCTCCCACTTGGGTGCAGAGGCCCAAGGACTTGGGCTATCTTCCACTGCTTTCCCAGGCACCTGGATTGGAAGTGGAACAGCTGGGACTTGAACCAATGCCCATATGGGATGCTGACATTGCAGGTGGTAGTTTAACTGTTGTTCCACAACATTGGCCCCAAGAGTGTCTTTCATAAAGGCACTAATGCTCTTCATGAGGGCTCCACCTTCATGACTCCCCAAAGGCCTCACCTTCTACCTCAGAGTTAGAGTCCAACATAGGAATTTGGCGAGAACACATTCAATCTATTGCCTTGTGAAACCCTGTTTCATATCATGTAGACTCTAATGAAAAGCAAGCAAGCAAACAAAATAAATGCTTGCATGACCCCAGGGGGAGTCAGACTGGGCTGAAAAGAAGCTTAGGGGCTTGAAGCCACTCATGAGTCTTCAGCATTGGTTGGGGAAAAAAATCTGTCCCAGTTCCTGACTTAACCTCCAGTTTTGCTTCTTTCTCTGCTGCATCCACTCAGTCTTTTCTTCTTTCCATCTTTCTTTTCCTCAGTCATCTCTAATTTAGCTTGAAGGAGGAAGCCCAGAAAGCTTCAACATTTTCAACCCTCTGCTCTAATTAGAAGGCAGAGTCAGTATGTAAGACGCTACAGGTTTTAAATTGACAACATCTCTAGAATCTGGGATCTAGGCCAAAAATGTCACCCTCTGAAACTGACAACAAGAAATGGGCGAGATTGATCATTGTGAAAATCTCTCAGGAAGTAACCCACCTAAGGAATTCTGGCTAAGTGTGCTGCTGATAGACTTAGCTGTTTTCCCAGTCAGGGTCCAAGAATGCCTTCCCGCGAAGGAAAGCATTTAAAATGCAATTTGTGCGAGACAAACTGTAATCTAGCAAATTATAAACTGTTGTCCTGGGGAAGTGTTCTAATGGGGGAAGCTTTTAATGACTCCTAAGTGTAACTGCCTGTGATTATCAGGGATGCTTTGTGTTTCTGTTTCAGCATAATAAACCCTAGGAGGAAGGAACTGGTTTGTTTTATTGGTGTCTCTGGTAAGAGGAGCACAGATGAGTGTCTTAGCTATAGAAGGGTGGGGATTACTGGTGGTGGCAGGGGGGGCAGCGAATACTCACAGAGGCACTGTCTTTGGTAAAGCGATTCTTAATCAGGAGCCCAGGAACCTGGCAGCCTGCATGTGTGCGTGTCCTGCATGTGTGCGTGTGTGTGTGTGTGTGAATTTTTTTTCTCTGGGGAAAAATGGCTGTAGCATTTATCAAAGGGGTCCTTGATGTACAAAAAAATGAAGGCCCTGGCTCTGGTGGTTGGACACAGTTACTGGGGAATGAAATAGAACAAGAGCACTGAGGACAGGCAGGGGAAGTGAGGAGAGATGGGGTTTCTTTGCAGAGCCCAGAGATAGTGGCTAAGCACACACACGGCTCCTTTATGCATGTGGATTTTCTCACGAAAATTGGGGGCACGGCTTGCAGTGGAAAGATGAGCTGTGAGCAGATGTCAAGGCAGAACAGAAATCTATCCTGAGGGAGGCTGGAACAAAGCAGAAAGTGTGGTAAGAGGACTTACGGAGAATGCAGGCAGACGTGTGTGTGTGTGTATGTGTGTGTGTGGTGTCTATGTGTTGTGTGTAGGGGGTTTGAGTGTGTGGTGTGTGACAATGTGTGTGTGGTGTGTGATGTGTTGTATGTGGTGTGTGTGGTTGATTGTGTGATTGTGTATGTGTGGTGTCTATGTGTTGTGTGTAGGGGGTTTGAGTGTGTGGTGTGTGACAATGTGTATGTGGTGTGTGATGTGTTATATGTGGTGTGTATGGGGTCGATTGTGTGATTGTGTGTGTGGTGTGTGTATGTGGTATTTACATGGTGTGTGCTGTGTGGTTGTGTGGTGTGTGTGTGTGTGTGTGCATGTGTGCATATTGCATTGTTCCACATACATCAACATCAGTCCTGAAGTTTAGATTCCATGGATGCCCCAGGTTAGCTGATAGTCACCACTAAGGAATTGATTCTGGGAGGCTGACGTCTAGGGCAGCAACCAGGCAATCCAGATGGGATCCTTTTTAGGTGCTTTTCTGTTGCACATTACAGAAATTAACTCTAGTTAAAGGACTTATTTCAGGAAAACTGGGGAGCACATACATTCCAAAGGAGGAGCTGAACGGAGAATCCTGGGGAAGCAAGAAATTGGCAGTGTGGGGACTTCCGCGGTGGCTGACCAGCGCCAGTGACCTCCGATGTCTGCATTTCCATGTTTAGACTCTCAGTTTCCAAGACAGAAGGCAACTGTTGGCCCCAGAGAAGAGGAAATCATGAGCCAACCCCTGAGGTGCTGGTGACATAAGTCATTGTCATCACAGTCAGTCCTCCGTAGCCGCGGGATCTGCATCACACATTCAACCACCGGCAGATCAGAAGTATTCTAGGAAGAGCTGCCTCTGCCCCGAACACGTGCAGGCTTGCTTCCCGTCATCATTTCCTGAACAAGATGTTGTAACAATAGCATCTGGATTGCGTTAGGTATGGTGAGGGATTTAGTGATGATTTCAAGTATGTGGGAGGATGTGCCTGGGCTTTGTGTGGCCAGTGCCCTGGCCGTATGGAGGGACAACACATCAGTGTAGAGTAGGAGTCCCCGTCTTGAAAACAGTGGAAGGCCAGTACCCAAGACTTTGGATTGCCTGAGAGCACTGCATGCTCTCAACTCAAATTCTTAATTTCTTACTATTTTAAAAACAACCAAACAGGGGCAGGCTTTTGACACAGGTTTTTAAAATGCTGCTTGAGATGCCTGCATCCCATATTGGAGTGCCTGGGTCTGAGCCTTCGCTCTGCTCTTGTTGCCAGCTTCCTGCTAATGCACACCCGGGAGGGCAGCAGATGATGGCTCAAGTGTTTGGGTCCCTGCCACCCTCCTTGGAGACCTGGATTTAGTTCTGGGCTCCTGGCTTCACCTGTTGCAGCAACTGGTGGGTGAACCAGTAGATGCAGAATCTCTGTCTGGGTCACTCTCTCTCTGCCTTTCAAATAAATAAAAACTAATAAGTAGAAAAAGAAAAAAGAAACCCTGATAAGCAAGGTTGAAGTGGAGAGGAGAGGAGGACCTTTGAGGCAAAGGGAACAAAAAGCGTGGTGGCCCTCAGGTGGTAGGAACTGGGCATCCTGGAAACAGAGGGCTGGGGTTCCTCTCCCTTGAGGTTAGAGAGTGATCTGCAAGAGCAGGTGGTAGTGGAACAGCATCACACTGGCTTGCTCACCCCACATGACCCCAGGACCACTGTGGGAAGTGCCGGGGTTTTGGGTTTGGTTGCTTTGTTTTTCTACTTGCAATACAAATCCACTGTGGAGATTTAAGCAGATAGAAATTACATTTTCAAAACACACTGCAGCCGCTCAGTGGAGCACGGATCAGGAGGTTATTGCAATGACCCTCCAGATGGAGATGACAGGATGGTGGCTTGAATCAGATTGCTGGGAAGTGGGTGGATTCAGCACGCGTTTTTGTAGTTTGCAGACAACTGGATTTGGTGTGAGGGAGGAGAAAAGGGGAATCCGAAGGGACTCCTAGATGTAAGATAATGTCCTTCATGGAACTGCAAAGACGGAGGGAAGGAAGAGAGTTGGGGAGGAAGACAGCTTGGAAGCAGTCTGTCAAGTTTGAGATGGTAGAGGTCTTGGTGTGGAAGTGCAATGGGTGCAAATCTGGGAGCCATCAGATTACAGATGTCGCTGCTTAAAACCAAAAGCCTGGGTCAGTTTGCTTGGGAAGGCACCTAAGACTGAGCTCTGGGCACCCCAACATGAGGAAATCCAGCTGGCCCTCCATGACCAGGAAGACTGGGTACTGTGCAGTTAGGTCAAAGAAATGCCATCTTACTTTTTTAAATTGTGGGCTCTAATTTCATAGTTCTTAGCATACAGAAATCTGTAATTTCCATATCTGATATTTATTTTGGACATCTGCATCTTGTTCATGAATATCCTCTCAGGTTCAACTAGTAAATATCACACCTTTTGCAGTTCCAGACTTTTCCTTGCTTAAATCCTTGGCAAAAACATTTTTGGCTTCTCTTTCTGTGTATTTGAAGGGCTGGCAGGAATTCACTGCTAACTGGGTCTGGAAGGAAGGCCAAGTCTGCCAATAAGTCTCTCTTTGGGCCTGTAAATATTTATGTAAGGTTTGTTAACTGTATTAAGTGGCTATGGATAGACCAGGTGCTTATAGGCAACCCTAATCAACCACATGCAGTGAATCCACTTTGTGGATTATTTGAAATAAAATTTTAATTTTGGATAATGTTAAATTAAAACCTGTCCAAGCTCTGTTTTGGCATTTTGCATATTTCAAGGATGGCTTTTTAAATTAGCATTTAGCATATGAATTTTTAAATTTATTTTTTAAAGATTTATTTTTATTTATTTGAAAGGCAGAGTTATGAGAGAGAGAGAGAGAGAGAGAGAGAGAGAGATCTTCTATCTGCTGGTTCACTCCCCAGATATTCACAATGGCCGGGGCTGGGCCAGGCCTAAGCCAGGAGCCAGGAGCTTCCTCTGGGTCTCCCACATGGGTGAAGGGGCCCAAGCTTTTGGACTGCCCTCTGCTGCTTTCCCAGGGACATTAGCAGGGAGCTAGGCCGGAAGTGGAGCAGCCGTTACTCAAATCAGCGTCCATATGGGAAGCTGGTGTCACAGGCTGAGGCTTAAGCAGCTACGCCACAAGGCGGGCCCAGTACAGCTCCTTCTAATATAGCTAAGTAGCTGTAATGATCTGTTAGTCCCCCTGAGAATTCTAACTTTATTTTTTGAGTAAAAACAAATTTTTCTCTTTTGTTAACCCAAACAATATGCTTATTATAGAAAAACAGAAACAAATTTTTTAAAAAGGAACTTTGGAACACAACAATCCTAACTCCACAGTCCAGAGATCACCACTGTTAATACTTTATAGAGAATATCCTTCCAGATCATTCTATACAGACTGTGTCATTTGGAACCATACTGTTCATTTAATTTAAAATAAACTTTAAAAACCTTGGCAATACTTTATGAATACAGTTCAATAATAACTATTCTCCAGCACTTTCTTCCAAGAATTTCACAATATGAATGCACTAAGTTTTTTATTTGTCTTTCAGTGTTTTCATTGTTTCTGTTTTTTGTTTTATTTTTGTGTTCTGCAAATATATGAATAAATAGAATAGGAGCTCTGTTTGGATTTTAAATAAGTAAATAAATTTGAAAACCTTTTAAAAATATTTAAGGAGATGGAAATGCTAACTAAGCTGATTTGGTTATCACGCCTTGAATACATGTGTCACATTATCACACAGTAACCCATAAACAAGCACAATAAAAACAATAACAAAAATATTTTTTAAAAATCCTTGTCAAGTCAGTAGTGAAAATGCCACCTTGCCAATGGCTTAATTTGATTTCTGTGATTGCTAGTGAGGTTGTCTATTGTCCTATTGTCAGTGACCATTTCATTTCTTATTTTATGACATGCTTTCCCACATCCTATCTTCAATTTTCTCTGGAGGTTCTTGTCATGGATCTTAAGATCAGTCTCTTTATATATAGGACACTGATCCTGTGTGTCTGAAATATTGTTCCTACTCTACACTGGCCTTCTATTTTTTGACCCGAAGAGGTGAAAAATCATATGTAATCAAGCTTAGTTTTTCTTTTTATGATTTATATATTTATTTTGATTTATATGTTTTTATGATTTAAATGCTTTTAGAAAGCATTCTCCACCTCAAGATGATAAAAAATCACCTGTGTATTTTTCTATTGTTTAGGTTTTCTTTTACATTTAAATCTTTACGGATTTTATTTAGTGTGATACAAAGAGGATGGATTTAATTTTACTTATTACAAATGGCTTGCTCTTCAAAAGTCAATCTCTTTTACTCTTTTAAATTTCCCCAATTGTATTTGCAGATCAGTCACATAGGAAAGTGTGGATCACGAGTTGCACACTGGAGGCCCATAGCCATATCTGGCCTATGAGTATGTTGTGCTATTCAAATAATTTTTGAATTGGTATTTGCATATAAAAATCAGGAAGTTTTATACACAAATCTGGTTTTACAAATTCTCTTGATATTTCAGGCTATCTGGCAGCTCTGGGTTCACAGTCCTGCTTGCTGACAACACACCACAGCTGGAAGCAACTTAAGCAGAAGTGGCTTCTGATAACGAGGGGCCGTCCCCACGGTATGCTTCCCTTTGGTGTTTGCCCAGTCCCTGGGGGCACTGAATTTGCACTACCGCTGTTAAGTTCTGCGCATTTATTTTGCAGTTGGACACATTATGAGAACTCTCTAATTAGTATTAAGTATTTAGTAGTTAATTTTTTTGGGTTTTCAAGTAATTATGTCATCATGTAAAAAGTTGTAATATTGTCTTGTCCAATATGTCTTCTTTCTAATTCCTTTTTCTTGCCTTATTACACTTGGAAAACACCTGCTAATCATTTTGAGTAACGATCATGATGGCAGGCATCTTCACAGTGGCAGACACTGGGGCTGGCATTATGGCGGTGTGTGTAAAGCTGGCATCCCACATGGTGCTGGCTCATGTTCTGGCCGCTCCACTTCCAATCTTGCTCCCTGCTAATGGCCTGGGAAAGCAGTGGAAGATGGCCCAGGTGTTTGGGCCCCTGCCACCCACATGGGAGACTTGGAGGACACTCCTGGCTCCTGGGTTTGGCTTTGCCCAGCGCTGGCCATTGCAGGCATCTGGAATGGAAGATCTCTCTTTCTGTCTGTGCCTCTCTTTCTGTAACTATGACTTTTAAGATGAATAAATAAATAATTAAAAAATGGCAGGAATCTTTACACTATACTTGACTTTAATGGGAATGCACTGTCATGTTTAACTTTTAATTATTAAATATACATTATTTATTGCCAAAGAAATGTATCTTTATAGGTCACTGATATTTTGACTTTTTATTAATACCAGTAATATGTACTGAATTTGATTAAAATCAAATGACTTTTTTTTTTAAAGATTTTTGTTTATTTGACAGGTAGAGTTACAGACAATGAGAGAGAGAGAGAAAGGTCTTCCTTCCGTTGGTTCACTCCGCAAATGGCCACCACAGCTGGAGCTACGCCGATCCAAAGCCAGGAGCCAGGTGCTTCCTCCTGGTCTCCCACACGGGTGCAGGAGCCTGAGAACTTGGGCCATCCTCTACTGTCTTCCTGGGCCACAGCAGAGAGCTGGACTGGAAGAGGAGCAACAGGGACTGGAACCCAGTGCCCATATGGGATGCTGGCCCCGCAGGCGGAGGATTAACCTAGTGAGCCACCACGTCGGCCCCATCAAATGACTTTTCAATATCTATTGATATTATGATTTTTGTCTAAATGTTAAGCATTTTTTTCTAATGTTGAACCATGTATATATTTTTATATAAATCCTAACAATACCAAATGATATTCTTCTTAATCTAATTTGCCTTTCAAATAACAGCTACAAAACTTGCATCCATTTTCATAAATGATTTAAGTTTCCTCTCTCCTTTAGTTTTTGTCCCTTTTTTTCTTAAGATGTACTTAAACTAAAATTCTTATTGCTGCTCAATGTGTTAACTGTTATATTCTTTAGTTCTTTAAAAAGTTTGTTGTAATTTATATATTTTGATGGTTAATTTCATGCATCTGGTGCTGGCACTGTGTTGGAGCAGGTTAAGCCACCACTTGTGATGCTGGCATACCCTATTGGAGGGCCAGTTTGAGTCCTGGCTGCTCTGCTTCCAGTCCAGCTTCCTGCTAATGCACCTGGGAGGTAGTAGAATATGGCCCAGACACTTGGGTCCCTGACACTCATGTCAGACATCAGCAAGGAATTCCTGTCTCCTGGTTTAGGCCTGGCTCAACCCTGGATATTGTGGGCATTTGGGGAGTGAACCAGCAGTTGGAAGATCTCTCTGTTACCCTATCTTTAAAATAAATAAATTACTAATTGTGTCTGTGTGTACGTGTGTGTGTGTGTGTGTGTGTGTGTATGAATCAACCTGAATGGGCTAAATTGGCTTAGCCCAGGTGTCTGGCAACACATTATTTCCAAGCAAGTCTGTGAGGGTGTTTCTAGAGGCAATTAGAACTTCATCAGTGGACTGAGTAAAGTTCTCCTGGCAATGTGGGAAGTCACTATCCAATCTACTGAGGGTCCTAATAGGACAAAAAGGTGGAGAAAGGGTGGCCTTGCATCTCCTCTATGTCTGGGGCACTCATCTTCTCCTGCCCTTGGTCCTCAGCTCTTGCTTCGCTGGCATGTGAAGTGAGTCAGGGATTATGGCCCGGCTACCCTGCTTCTCAGGCCTTTGGGCTAAGACTGGAACCACACCACTGGCCTCCTTGGACCCTCAGCCTGCAGAAGCTCTGTGATGCTGTAAGCCAATCCCTCTAATAAACCTCTTCCTGTAGATCTCTCTATACGCTATTGGCTCCATGTCTCTGGAGAACCATGACTAATACACACTATTTATTTTATATTTGAACTATAAAATAGTTTTATGTGAAACATACACACACACAATGTGTAACATGCATTTGTACAGTTTCAAGGATAATAATAAAACCAACACCCACAAAGTCACCACCCAGATTAAGACATAGAAAATCACCAGTAACTTGGAGCTGTTTCCAAATGCATCCCTCTCCTTCATCTCCAAGAGAAACCACCATCCTGAACTTTGTGTTAATAAGCTCTTGCTTTTTGCTTATAGCATTTCCTCATGGCTGTGTATCCTTGAATGGCTTGCTTTTGATCTTTAGGTATGCACGGAGAATCACACATGTCTGTATTTTTGTGATACTTCTTTTGCCTGTGGTTATGAGTGTTATTCACCCAGGTTGACACTGGTAGCTGGGGTACACTCGCTTTCATGGTTGTATCGTTTCCCATTACACAAATTTATCATCTGTTCTGTTATTGAGTGGCACTTTTGCATTTAAGGTTGCAAAGGAGAAATCTGCTTTTCCTCAGTGCAAATAGCCTGTTTTATTTTGTTTTCCACCTGGATAGTTATGGGCCTTTTATCCTTATCTTTGACATTCAATGTTTGCTAGAACAAATCCGGATGGATCAGATTTGATTAAATTTGCCTCCTAGCGGCCCCTTTATTTCTGTACCTGGTCATTTTTCTCCACGTTCTAATCCTTAGCAGGGAAGGGCTGTGGCGGGCCAGCCGAGGAACGGGTGGGTGTTGTCACAGAGACCCGGTCCCCGTGGAAGTCGTTCTGTCTCTGCACGGGAAGCAAACTTACGTTTTCTTGACCTTACCCCCCTTAGAAGTCTGGCACATGAGGGCTGAGAAGAGGGGTGACCCCTCTGAGTATCTGGCCTCACCCTCAGCTGAAGCCCGCAGCGGCAGCAGCACCCTTCCGTCCTCAGCAGTAGCTCTGTGCCACCAACAAGCCTGGAGCAGACACGGCCTGTCCCCTTCTCATAGCAGTGCTGGTGTCTGAGTTTGGCCCCGCCCTTCCCATGGTGACAGACAGTCTTACTTGGCTCTGGTCCCTGTCACACTGAGGTTGGAGTTGTTTGTCCTCTTCTGTTCCGTGGCTCATTGCAGCCGGGGGACCTCGGGGAGCATGTGTGAAACGCATCAGCTCAGGTCATCATTGTGGACTGGAAATGCTGCCTCTTTGACCCGTGGTGACTCTCAGATTGCAAAGCTGGCCTTTTGTGCATTAGTGATGTGTCCCAGAGCCGGGTGAGGAGAGCAGAGGTGGACAGAGTTGAGAGGCAGCTGCTATTTTCCAGTCCCTAGCTTGAGAAAATCCCCGGCTATTCAGCAGGTTACAAGAGAGACTGCAAGAGTGCCACCTGGGATTGATAGTCACCTGGGGACAGGCATTTGTTTCTAATGTCAAGTAAGACAGCCTTTCCCTCTTAGCCTTTGGACACCAGAAAGCAAGGCCGGCCATGTAAAGGGGGAAATAAGTTGAATCGGAGGTTGGACAGTGTCCTCAATACCCTTCCCTTCCGGAAATTTCTTTTGATGTTAAGGAGCGTCTGTCTCTCTAGCTCTGGAGTCCTGAGCCCTGTGCCTACGTGTTCAATATCACCCTGAGCTTTTCATCAGTGTTTGAAGGATGGGGCTGTCTTTTGATGGCACGCATACTTTTTTATTGTCTCGAGGGCCTAACGAATCAGGGCTGCCGTCCCTTTAACAAGATCTGTGGTTAATTCCCCTCTCGGGGTGCGAAGCGCCCTAAATACTCAGCATGCAGGGAAGATGCCCCCCCCCTTTCTCCTCTGAGAAACAAGTGGGATTAGCAAATTGTGACTTTGCTTATTGTTCTTAAATAAATTGTATTAAAATGTACAGGCACCTTTCCAAAAGAAGATAAATTATGCATATTCCAAGAAGGGAAGCAAAGACAGTGATTTTGAAATCCCTCTGAGACGGGTCTTTTTGTTCTTCGCTGGCTGCACAATGCATCTCTCCAGGCAGACCTGTCTTCTCGGTGAGTCTCGGTGTCAGTGAGTTCTGATCAGGAATTTCGAGCTCATCGTCCCCATTACTGGGAGAAAGCCAAGGATCAGCACTTTCCCTTTGAGAGTTTGCTGGTTGTGCCTTTGGGGCCTGGTTGTGGCCGGCGTGTCTTCTGCCTTGCTTGGGACAGGGTACGGCAGGAAAGGTGGTCTCAGATTCCTCACTCACTTGAAAACTGTATCTTCAGCCAAGATGGAGAAAGTGCACAAATTACAGTCAAGCGTTTCTTGGACTTTGCTGTTTAGAGGAAAAAGGGGACAGCAAAAAAACTCTTCGGCTCTTTTGAGCCTGGTGGAATCTTGTCACACTCATCCCTTTGCTCCCAACGCCACCCATGGGTGCCAGCCTGAGGAGGATGTGTCTGATCGGATAATGTCCAACCGACGTTCTTTGTCAAACCTTCTGATCACAGTGAGACGCAGATGAGTCAAGAGAACTTGACTTCCACGTCCTCTTCCTCGTTGCCTGCACGCCTAGGCCTGGATCAGACACTGCCCATGCCACGCTGGCTGTGTGCACACGGCAGCATTGTTCAGCCGTCCCTGAGGCAAAGCCCTGAGGACTGCCGGGGCCTGTGGGGCAGGGGAGAGCTGGTGTGGCCAGGAGGGAGCTGGTTTGACTCCTTTTTATAGCTTCCTATCCAGGAAGCCTGGATAGGCCAACTCAGCCAGCATAATCTTAGCCACTAACCATGTCTCAGTGTTCTCTCTGTAAGGTAGCTTTAGAATGTACTTCCTAAAGATATTATTAGCAGTAAATGAGCTAAAGTGGTCAGGACAGTGTCAGGCCCAGAAAGTGCTTGATTGATACTAATCATTCATATTATTATTATTATTATTTCTCCCTATTCTTTATAGAAATGTTTAAAAAACCAAACAACTTGATTTCTCACTGAAAATGAACTTTAAGGAAATTCCCGATGTTTATTTCCTCGAGAGGCAGAGAAAAGGCGTTGGCATGTGCTGGTGCACTCCCAAGGTGCCCACAATGGCTGGGACCCGGCCAGGCCAAAGAGGGACCTAGAACTCAATCCAGGTCTCCCCAGTGGGTGTCAGGAATCCAGTTACTTAAACCAGTACCGCCGCCCTCCTCCGGGGTCAGGAGCCGGGCAAGCTAGCTCTCCAACACGGGGCGCAGGTGTCTCAATGGCCAGGCTAAGCGCCTGCCCCGAGAGGAGCCTGGAGCAGACAATTCGCAGGTGTCTTACACATGGTACCTGTTTTCTTGGCTGGCACACCCAGGGCCTCCTATACTTTACGTACGGTGGATGCTACTCAGAAAGGCTCTTAATCTCAGCCGATTCCCACGAGAAGCAGCGCTGCTACTCCGCGCTGTGGCAGTGGATCTTGGCTCCATCACCAGTTCTTCCCAAGAGACCCCTGAAATACTGGTTTTATAGCAAAGACGCCTCCCAGCAAGAGCGACTATAAAAGGAACTCTTTCTCCTATTGACTTGTATAATAAAATCAGAGATATGATCTCATGGAAAGAAATCTCCCAATTGATTTGACAAAAATGCTTATTTAAGGAACGAGCCGACGACGACGACGGCGGGGCTTGCTTTGTTCCAGCCAAAGGGAACGGGCGAGGCCGCCTCTTTCTGCGGGTCGCAGACTTAGGAGAGGACCTCCGCGCCAGGAAGGAGCCGCGAACGCGGACCCGGGCCGGCCAGGTCTGCTCAACGCAAACAGTGTTTTTTTTTTTTTTTTTTTTTTTGTAACCTTTAAAAAAGAGCAGTTGGTTCTTTCAAAAACAGAATATGATTCGCGAAATTCGTCACTGAGAGGATCAAAGGAGACTTGCCCAGCCACACGGCCCTGGCTCCCTCACCGGCCCTGCCTTCTGCCTTGGCGTGAACCCCTAAGAGACGTGGCTCTCGAACCGGGTGACTCGACCACGTCTACACAGCTAGTTATGGTGCGGTCAGGACCAGGGCACAGGCCTTTAACTGTTCTGGGAGATTCCAAGATCTTCCTTCTGTTACGGGAAAGGAATTTTGTTTATTTTGACTTGGACCCAAGGCTAGTGTGGAATTTAGCTCCTTTTATTTCCCGGGACTTGAAGTTGGGTGCAATATCACAAACTGCCAGTAGATGTCGCTATATGCCGCATTATCGTGCAAATGATTTTCCTAGTTGAGTTTTGTAGACTTAGTTGGGGGAATCCCTGGATCTATCTGTCAGATCCAAGAGAACTATGGGAGCTTTTAAATCATGTTTAAATATTGATGAATATTTTAAATACTTATTTCTAGTTGTGAAGGTAAAGCTCTTAGTTAAAATTCATTTTTTAAAAATTTAATTTAAATTTTTCCCCAAAGAACTTTTTTATTTAATGAATACAAATTTTGTAAGTACAATTTAAGAAATATAGTGATTCTTCTCATCATACCCTTCCACCCCACCTCCTCCTCCCTCTCCCATTCCCAACTAAGAAAAAAAACAAACTGTTCCTTGATAGTCAGGACAAGGGCTGTTCAAATCATTGCTTCTCAAAGTGTCAGTTTCATTTCTGCAGATTTTCTTTTAGGTGCTCTATTGGTTATCACAGATCAGGGAGAACATATGGTATTGTCCCTTTGGGACTGGCTTATTTTACTGAGTATGATGTTTTCCAGATTCATCCATTTTGTTGCAAATGACTGTATACAATTCATTTTTAATTAAAAAAATGGATGTTTCTCATACTGAGTTCCCTGGATAAAAAGTGGGGTCAACATGACTTTGGGAGCCCCCATCTTCTTTTCAGTCAGCAAGGCCTCCCTCAGGGCTTCACAGAGAGGACTCTGTGGGACCGAAAAATGTGAGATTTGAAGTCCAGCAGAGCGGGGCTTGAGTTCTGGCTCACTTGTTGGTTGTGTGGACTTGGTCTTGAGTATGTCTCTCAACTGTAACAGGATGACTCTGACCGTCTGGTGGGGTGAGGATGAAACAAGGCAATGTGTGCAAACACAAAGACTAACTGTCATTGTTAACTGTGATTATTTCACTTGATAAAAATATTTTTATAGGGGACAGTGTTGTGGCAAAGTGAGTGAAACTGCTGCTGTGTTGCCATCATCACATACGCAGGTGCCAGCTGCTCCCTGCTAATCACCTGGGAAAGCAGCCGAAGTCAGAACCAGTGCCTGGGCGCCTGCCACCCATGCAGGAGACCCTGATGAAGCCCCCAGATGCTGGCTGCAGCCTAGCCCAGTGCTAGCCTTAGCAGGCATTTGGGCATGCACTAGTGGATGGAAAATCTTTTTTTTCTATATGCGAGTCTTTCTCTGTCATTCTGCGTTTCAGATAAATAAATCTTTTTTTAAATGTATTTTTATAGCTAAAAACTTTCAAATCCTAGACTAGTTCAAATTTTATTTTAAAAATGTGAGAATTGAGATTTAAGAGGCCAACTGATCTGGTTCTCTGATTAAGTTTCACAATTTCATAATACCATACAATGATTTGTGTAAAACAAGACATGCCCATTCTAATCTTCTACAGGTGTATCCCTCCCCACTTGGGGAAACCTGATATATCCCTCTTTGAATTTATAAAGGTGATGAAATACAAAACTATCCCTCACTTTATAATTTAACATACCAAATAATTCAGTTTATTTTTAAATTTAAATTTTAACTGCTTACAAAAACAATTCAGAATATGTTTTTTTTTTAAGATTTATTTATTTATTTGAAAGGCAGAGTTACAGAGACAGAGAGAGAGAGAGAGAGAGAGAGAAAGGTCTTCCATCCGTTGCTGATCTGAAGCCAGGAACCAAGAGCTTCCTCTTGGTCTCCCACGCTGGTGCAGGGTCCCAAGGACTTGACCCATCCTCCACTGCTTTCCCAGGCCATAGCAGAGAGGTAGATCAGAACTGGGCAGCCAGGATTTGAACCAGCACCCATATGAGGTACCGGTACTGTAGACGGCACCTTTACCCACCATGCCACAGTGCCTGCCTCTAGTATAGGCTTGTAAAATCTGACCAATGATGCACTTCAGCAGTGATTCAGCTGGTGCAGTTAAGATACCGCTTAACAGGTAGATATGAATGTGTTTATAACTTTGTAGCCACATAATTGAACTTGTGTTTTCATTGATTCATTGATTGGGAAACTACTTTGCACGGGGCTGTCCACAGCTGCTACATAGCTGTGTAGGCTGCTGAGGGGAGGCTGGGAGTTCATGGATGTTGGCTTATGATGTTGGTTGCTTTGATAAATTATTAGTTGACAGAATGATTCAAGTGTTGTGAGTTTATCCTCATTTGTAATGTAAATTTTTTTACCTTTCTTTTTTAAAAAAAATTATTTATTTATTTATTTGAAAGGTAGAGTTACAGCCGGCACCACGGCTCAATAGGCTAATCCTCTGCCTAGCGGCGCTGGCACACCGGGTTCTAGTCCCGGTCGGGGCGCTGGATTCTGTCCCTGTTGCCCCTCTTCCAGGCCAGCTCTCTGCTGTGGCCCGGGAGTGCAATGGAGGATGGCCCAAGTCCTTGGGTCCTGCACCCGCATGGGAGACCAGGAGAAGCACCTGGCTCCTGCCATCGGATCAGCGCGGTGTGCCGGCAGCAGCGCGCCGGCCGTGGTGGCCATTGGAGGGTGAACCAACGGCAAAGGAAGACCTTTCTCTCTGTCTCTCTCTCTCTCACTGTCCACTCTTACTCCCCCAGGCCCTACTGCCTGGCTGCCTGTGGGGAGGGTCTAGCAGTCTAAGGGCCACTCCTGAGTGCTGGGGCCAACCACAAGCCTGGGCTGGAGAGCCTGCAGAGGAGTGGATGGGTGTCTGTGCACCGAGAGGACAGTGAAGAGCTCCTCACACTTCTCAGGGGACAGGCTCCATCCGCCATGTGTTGAGGATGCCTTTGATGTTGTTTTAAAATGAATTTATTTTTTGAAAGTCAGAGCAAGAGTGAGAGTGGGAGCTAGAGAGAAATCTGCCATCAGCTGGTGCATTCCTCAGATGGCCACAATGACCAGGGCTGAGCCAGGCCTAAGCTGGTTACTCCATCTGGGTCTCCCATGTGGGTGGCAGGGGCCCAATCACTTGGGCCATCTTCCACTGCCTTTCCCAGGCCACCAGCAGGGAGCCGGATCAGAAGTGGAGCAGCGGGGATACGAATCAGCACCCATATAGAAGCCTGGCACTGCAGGCAGCAGCTTTACCTGCTACCCCACAATGCTGGTGCTGGCTTTGCTCATTAAGTCACTGGGGTGCCTTGAGCCCTGGGGTACCATGGCCGCTCTTCCTCTCTGGCCTCGGGGGTGGGTCCCCACTAGGTTGATTCTGGTGGGCATTGTTCCTGTGCTCTCTTATTGTTTCATCTTTCAGCCTTGACGGAGCCTTGTCTGGGGACACAAAGATGAGTAATTCATGGTCCTTGAGTTCAAGGAGCTCAAAGTCTGGTGGGAGAGACAAAAAGCAAACAGACCATTGGCATGGTGACAAGGGGTGTGCCAGCAGTGTGCCCAGGAGGCTGGGGCAGGGCAGGCTGTACAGGAAGGTCAGTCCAAGGTCTGTCAGTCGGGAGGCCAGGGAAGGGCTCTGGTGCCATAAAATAGAGAGTTCAGGATGTCTGGGGTCTGAAAAAGCAGAGATGCCGGGCACCTG